CTAACAGATTTATTTGGGCATAAGCTTTCGTGAGTAAAAACCTCACTTCTTCGGATGCATAGCAAGGAAAACTAACACGCCTTGTTTGAAATAGGAGAGACTTATTTAGAAAGATGTGGAGAACCTGGATTGATGTCTGGTCCCTCTCAATCCCGAGAGCGAACACACTCCCCAAACAAAGAACACAAACAAAAGCCTTCCCCTCCCCTCCCCCCCAAGATTTGAAAGTATCTTGTCCCCTTATTGGTCCTTTAGGTCAGATGCCAGCCAGGTTACCTGAGCTTCTTAACCCTTTACAGGGAAAAGGATTTTGGAGTCTCTGGCCAGGAGGGATTTTATAGTACTGTACACAGGACAGCTGTTACCCTTCCCTTTATGGTTATGACAGCACATCTGAAAGTTCTACAGCCACTGCTTGTCATCCCACACCTACATCATGATGCGATCCCACCACTCAGTGCTTGTTTCCCAAGCCCAGTACTGACAGACCACTATGTGCAGCTGCTCCATGAATGACAGCAGTGATCTTGAATTCTTTGTTTCCATGGCAGACAGCAGGGCAGGCACCACCGATTCATCCTCTGTTTCGCAGTGCGGATATTGCAGATCAGCCGCATTGTTTTCATAATGCACATCACAGACTGGTCAGCAGTTCAGGATCCATGCTGTCAGGCAGAGATGGCAGGTGCACGGTTTACAAAGACTGTTGAAAATGGCACAAAATGCTATCGGTTCCCAGAGCTCTGAGCAGCAGAGGGTGACGGAGGGTGGCGAGTTGCACAGTGGGATAGCTACCCACGATGCAACGCTCTCTGTTGATGCAAGAGCAACAACTGTGGACACACTCCACCGAAACAAGGAGTGTTGTGTGGACATGCAAAACTGATGTAATTAAAAAGAAGAACAGGAGTACTTGTGGCACCTTAGAGACTAACAAATTTATTAGAGCATAAGCTTTCGTGGACTACAGCCCACTTCTTCGGATGCATATAGAATGGAACATATATTCCATTCTATATGCATCCGAAGAAGTGGGCTGTAGTCCACGAAAGCTTATGCTCTAATAAATTTGTTAGTCTCTAAGGTGCCACAAGTACTCCTGTTCTTCTTTTTGCGGATACAGACTAACACGGCTGCTACTCTGAAACCTGATGTAATTAAAGCAGCTTATTATCGTTGACGTAACTTAAGTCAATTTAACTCTGTAGTGTAGACAAGGCCTTAATGGAGCAATGGCTAAGGGCTGCTTCTTAGGGCTTTTGACACAGGGAAATTTACTGGCATCATTACACAGCTATAAGTGTAACTTAGGGTGACCAGATATCCCGATTTTATAGGGACAGTCCTGATAATTGTGGCTTTTTCTTATATAGGCTCCTATTACTTCCAACCCCCAACGCGATTTTTCACACTTGCTGTCTGGTCACCCTAGTGTAACTCCTTACATGGATACTCATTATTGCAGAAAAAGAGCGACTTTTTTCCAATTTTTCTTGTGGGTCTGGCACCTTCCCCTTCCCTCCCCTCCCAGTCCCTTATACTCTGCACAAATCAGATGGACTGGCACTTCCCCCTCTCCAACCAAACATACAGCATTAATTCTGACCTCTGGAGGATTTGAGTGAATGGGGGTTGGGGGTGGCCTGGGAGTCCAGCCTGGGAAACCCAGAAAGAAAACAAAGAAGGAAGAGCCCTGAGTGAGGGGAGGAAGCTGCTTGCAAAAGGGGACTCTTGTAAACTCTCAGCCTGGAGCTGACAGGACAGATGAGGACACATGAGCAGCATACCACCCTGAGCTCACAGTGCACGCCAGCACCTTGCCAGAAAGCATGGAGAGTGTGGACTGACCTAAAGGGGGAAGGGGATTGCATTGGCACAGAGCAGAGAGTCTGT